ACCCCCCGGACGCCCCCCGCGAAGAAGGGGGGGGGGGGTAGAATGGAGGATTAAGAACGAAAAATAGAAAAAGGTTTGCCAAGGTTGAGAAACCCTGTATTAGACTATGTGTTGCAAATATATGACAATGGATGCTAATACACAACAGTTCAGTAGCTCTCAATTGACATACTATCAGGGCATTGTTTCCTTTGCAACGATTTCAATGTGGTTTGTTACCTTATAGTTGAAAAACTTTGTAACGTGAGCGAAGAGTTCAAAGCTGAAATCCGTATCTATGGGTTCTCCTAAAGCGTCAGCGGCCATACATTTTGCAGTGTGCCATCCCATCTGCCGCGCCTGGGTCCAAAGTCTCATCTGAAACAGAAGCACAACGAAACAGTTTTATCAAACCGTTCTTTTGGAATTATAAGCAGGTGATTCTACAAGGCAGTTCCAACTGGTGGTTTAAAAAAAACCCATTCAAAATGCTCCTTCACCACTGGGATCGGCAATATATTTTTTTACGGCGTGGTGTGCTCCAGCGGCCAGGTTACTGCAAAGTTTTCATCTTACGGCTTTTATTTTATAAACTCTACAGAACAGCTGGATGCTAAATATAAATGGAAAACTTACTTAGTAGATGAAAACAATTTTGTATGACATATTTAAAAGAAAGAATATTGGAATGAAAGAATATACTTGTTTGCTTCTAGCACCACACAGAAATAGCCAATTTCCAGTAAAAATAAACTACCAGATAACAGGTAAGAATGAAGGACAGTAAATGGAGTTACATAAAAAAAGGTGAACGTTCCAATACAATTCCCATTCCTCCATGATAGAGGTAATAATAACCTATATATATTGTTTATATCTGTTATATTATTGCCCAAGATTCCTATTGAACAAACTCCATCCTCAACAGTATATTTTGGGCATGTCCTCCTGCTTTTCTTGATGCTTCTCCTTTCCTAAAAATGTTTGTTACTTCTGAGAACGCTGAGATTTCTCTGAGTCTACTGATATCCCCCTCTGATGCAAAGGGGTGGATTAGTATACAGCATTGACATAATTATCCAATACATTTAGAAATTCTTTAATGCTTCCCATCTCAACAGCTGTTCCTGAAGCTGTAGGAGAAAAGAGACTCCCACAGTTAGGGCTTATTGGTGGCAGGGTCTCCAGCAAGAGATGAAAAAATATTGCTCAGGTTAAGACTCTAGAATATGCAGATATTAAAACAAAGAAAAATAAATCAAGCCTGGGGAAGAAGTTTTTTGGTTGCCTTTTTCCAAAATGAAGAATTTGGAAGCTAATTCAGTTACAGTGCCATGTTCCTGAAGGTTTCCAAATTTCACACAAGGCCAGAAGACAACAAAAAGCTTGTTCATTCTCAGCTTATGCACCCCTCCTGGACTGGAAGGCCCTTCAGACAGTCACTCATGCCCTCCTCACCCCACAGCTTGACTCTGCAAGGTGCTCTACGTGGGGCTGCTCTTGAAGACCACTTGGAAGCTTCAAATGGTCCGGAATGCAGTGACACAGTCAATGATGGGCACGTCTGGGTATGGCCATGTGGCACCTCTTCTTCGTGAGCTATACTGGTTGCCAGTATGCTTCCAGGTACAATTCAAGGTGCTGGTCATGGCAGAGAGCCAGCTTATTGGAGGGACCGCCTATCTCATGGTTTCTGCCCAGCCAGTACATGCAGGCAGAGTTGGCACACCACAGGTTCCTTCAATTAAACAGTGTCATCTACCAGGAGCCAAGAAGCATGCTTTCTCTGTCATAGTGCCTGCTCTCTGGAATGAGATCTCCCTTGAAAATCTCTGTTGGCATTCTAGAAGGCCTCGAAGATGTGATTGTTCTCCCAGACCTTGGGGTGGGTTGGATGGAGCCCCTCATTAGATGTGTTTTGTGTACATATTTTTGTACTGAGCCATTGGATCCCATCTTGTTTTTGTTTTGTATTATTTTTTGATTGTTTATTATACTGTGAGATGCCCAGAGTTGGTTTGGAGTCAGGTGGCACCTCAATCAGACCAAACAAATCAATCGATAACTAGAACTTATTTGTGGTCAGGAAGTGCAGGTAATTCCAGACACCTGCAGAAAGTCCCCTTCCAACTCCCAGGTGCAACTGAAGGACAAGTCATAACATCGTTTGTGGGAAAGCGTTAAGAAGGACAACAGGTGGCTATACAAATGTTAACCTTTTAACTGTATCAGACAGGCTCCCAAAGTTATTCCCACTGTGAGATACACATATATCCTTAAGCCCAGAATAAATCTATATTTGCTTCACCTGCTGCCAAACTGGGCTGGGTTCCCATGACGTCGTACAAATGTCTCCTGCTGCATAGATGTTCGGGAGAGAAGTGCGCATATATCTGTCAACTTTTAGACCACCATCTTCACCTAGAGCAAACTAAACATTTCAGAGATAAATGAAAAAATCTGAAAAGAAAAAAAAAATCCAGGAGATATCACTTTGCTGGCATTTTGTATACTACCATTTTTAAAGGCATAATGCAGAGAGCCCACATGCAACTGCAGCTCATTCCCAATTGGATTACAGGTAGTCCTTGCTATCTGACCACAATAGGGACTGGAATTTAGGTCGCTAAGCGATTTGATTGTTAAGTGAATCAGAGCTGATTTTGCAATCTTTTTTACAATGATCATTAAGAGAATCACATGGTTGTTAATCCAGCTTCCCCAATTGACTTTTTTGCTGAAATTTGCTTAATCAAATGATTCACGGTGATTCACTTAACGGCCATCATAAAAATGTCACAAGTTGTGATCATGTGACCTCAGGGGTCATAAAGCACCTTTCCCAAGGCTGTCGCAACTCCAAACCATCATTAAATGTACAGTCTTTAAGTGAGGACTACCTGTACAACAGTTACAACTAGCAGATCTCTATGACTTGAACAGATCTAAGTGTCTTGGCAGGAACCCTTTTTTTACTTATTGAAGAAGGCAAGAGAGAAGAAGCAACCAAATACATTTCATCACAGATGAACCTCATATAAGTAATAAAATAAAATACTGGGATTCACAAGACACAATAACCTTTAAACTATCTTCCAAACTTTCTAAATGATGAATCTAGAAAATTACTATCCATCAAAATTTAGATGTTATTAAAGACAAAGATAGCAAGTCAAATTAGAACAAGATCCATTTCTGTTGTGGTATTTCTTTACTTTTAATAAACCACTCCTACACTGGAATTTTAACATCACATAATCCAATATCTCCAGTAAGTTATTTATCCCAAACTAACAAAATTTCATGCTTATATTATTTTAAGAGAGTTAGAATTTGGGGGAAAACACCTGAAAAACCATGTGGCTTAGGTATGAAAGTAATCAAGTCTCTTTTTGAAAGACAAGCTTTCAGTTATTTTCAGATACGAATCCTTACATTATTACCATCAAGGAATGGCCGAACATTTGGAATCACTCCAGTTGCGCTAACAATGAAGTCGCAGCCATAAATCTTCCCATTGGTGAGTTCCACATATACAGGCCAAAGCTCTGCAAGCATGAAATGTTTAGGCATTAGATTAGATACTGCTATGTAGGTGGTACAAAAATCAACCAAGAAAAGACATTTCCCTTCGAGTGATCATCTACCTGGTCAGGCTTATGAATTCTGGGCCTCTGCAGGAAGCTAAAACTGGTAAAAACATAATCCTCATTCAGCAGTGTCCATGACGTGGGGGAGGAGTCAAAATCAGGAAGGCGGGAATACAGTGCTGCAATGCAAGCCCCACCCCTTTGGAATGTGTGGGTAAAAGGGGTGGAGCTAGCATCATGATGCTCCATTTGTTACCTTGCTGATTTTGACCACCTCCTGCAGACTCTACTGCCCTCATTCACTGCCCTTACGGCTGTTGCTTTCCTGCTCCCAACCACCATGGTGTACATTACAACCTGTATTTCTTAGGTCTCACTTTTGGGCAATATACTTCTTAGATTGGGCTGAGCCTGGCCCTGCCAAAAGATGTCCATCTCCAGGTGACAGAAAGCTTCATCAGTTTCAATGACTGCCAGGGTCAGAGATTTGATTCTCTACACCAGTGCTTCTCACCCTTGGCAACTTTAAGATGTGTGGACTTCAACTCCCAGAATTCCCCAGCCAGCAAAGTTGAAGTCCACACATCTTAAAGTTGCCAAGGTTGAGAAACACTGCTCTACACAAACCGAGCCATATAGCCTTGCGGATCAGAGAAACATTCTGAGTTTTTTAAATGATTTACCTTCCCCTGCTTCTTCATTCCTCTTGTCTTCTAGAGCTTTGGGGAAAGCCAGGGATACCTTCTGTGACAGCTTGAACTCTTCTTGGAGGTATATCTTCTTTATTTCACACATATTTTCAATATGAACTTGGTGGCATAGCTGGAAACCATCAACAATTGCATTCATTCATACTTTAAGTCAGTGGTTCTTAAACTGGGGGTTATTAATCCAGGTAATTAATTACCCAAGCGGGAAATGTGGGCATATTCTGGGAGTAATGGAGTAATTTGTAATTGCTTGTGAATTGAGGATCAGTTCTGGGACTGCCACTGTTAAGATGCTTATGTAAAACAACAGTCTGTTGTTGTTTTTTTCTTTTGGTGGGGGTAAGGGTAATTGGATCAAACAGTTTAAGAACCACAACTTTAAGTGCTAACGATACATAGTTTAAGCTGTGTGCACAGGCCCATAGAGTTAATCAGTAAAACAATGTCACACCATAACCCATTTAGATATGTGTGAAACATCACAATGGTATGACACTACTATTATCAAACTGACCAGTCTGATTCCTCCTATGATTGTGTGTGTTTTTGTGATAAAGTTCCTCCAGACATTTTGCTAAGCTCAATAAGAATCTAAGATTTCCCATGCCAGAGCCTCACAGTTAAGAACTTCACATACAAATGCCATGGACGTGCAGCTAGTCCTCAAATACACCTGAGGCAGCCTGGCTGTCAGAAAGTTAGCTAGCAATGATCAGACTGGCCACCATTCAACTGTTAGCTCACCGAGGAAGGCCGAGACATCCTCCTTGGAACCTGAGGATTTAGAATGGACCGGCAGAAGGAAAACCGAGACCTTATGGTAGATCCTTCAAGCTTGAAGCCTGCTCCAGCCTGATTTATACATCAGCTGGCCTTATAATATTACTATCTCAGCTGCAGTGCTGATATTTGACTCACATTCACAGATAGTCCCGTAGCTAAGCAAATGACACTAGCAGCCCTTTCTGCTGCTGTTATTAGCTATTTCTGCAACTAATGGGAGTATGTCTTAGCCACCAGCCCTATCATCCATGTCTTGAATGGAATGGTTGACTAGAGAAGCATGAGCTTAGTCAACTCACTTGACCAATGGTTGACTAGAGAAGCATGAACTTAGTCACCACACTTGACCAAGGGCCATACCACAATCCATCCCACCAAAAGGGGCAATGACAAGTTTTTTTTTTTAAGTTCTGTGAGCATCCAAAATAAACAGTAATACCTCTTTTGCTCCCTTTAGATATAAGCCCTCGTGCCAATCAGGGCCTAATGCACTTCCTATTTTCCCAGGATTTTCTGCAGTTTGTTCTTCTCTTTCTATGGGGAAAAAAATCAAAGATTTGAGAGAACCAGAGAGAGAGAGAGAGAGAGCAGTAGTAAATAATTGAACATGATAGTATTTTGTACCAGGAGACATGAAAGAATTGAGGTTATTCTACCTGCTATGGTATATTTTGTTCTTTTACAAGCTGCTGGAGGCTCCAGTTTTTCAGCAGTGAGCTTTGGAATCAAGAACTCAGCTGCTCCTGCATCGAAAAAAGTGTTGCCAATTGCCTGGTCTTTGATAGCCCAAATTACTTCACAGCCTTCAATTTTGTACCTGCAGGTCGACAGACAGACACATTAAAAAATATATATATTATTATTATATTATTTTCATATTAGGGCTGATTAGGACATATGTTAAAGGAGGTGGAGATTTATTTAGCATTCAGTTAGGAAATGTAAGAACAAGGTGACTGTGGCTGTTGTTTGAAACAATGAGTGGACTCAGTTTTGTTTGTTGGGTTGCTCATGCTGCATCCTAGCTCCTAAAAAGGCACAGATGTTGAAGATACTACTATAATTACTACTACTACTACTACAACTAATTTATTACATTTATATGCCACCCAACTCCCAGCGACTCTGAGCAGTTCTGGTCCCCAGAATTATTTTCAGCTGAATTTTGACAATTCAGTTGAAATGTATGACAACAGCTAACCACTTTGGACCTTTATGGCCAAGACGTTCCAGGTACCAGGGCAGATACCTTCCCATTTTTCCTGTTGTGGAAATGGTCCTGCAGGAGATCTGTGGAAAAACCTGTGAAGTCCCAGCATAGCTCAGATGCTGTTAGGTGCCATGACGATGCAATAGCCAAACTCTATTCTTCCCAAGTTTGGAACTGAGAATGGGGTAGGGGATTACAACTTTTCCCCCAACAAATCTTTACTGATGCATGTAAAAAAAGGATGGGGCTTCAATTGTGGCTGCCGTCTTGATTGTCTGACACACACACACACACACTTCTTCATATTTGGGAAGAAGCCTGGAATTCTTCAGAGGACATCAGCACATTCACTACTGTAGAAGCTTATCAATCATGTTCTAATTATATGTTCAACACAACTGGATGCTACACAAAATATAATAGCAAAAGATGAAATCTATTGCCAAGGAGAAGTCATTGCCTATTCCATCATCCAAACCTACTTACACCAATTCCAGTGCAATGCCACCATTTCCTACAATGGTTATTCTTTTAGCTGTTGCTAGATGGTTCTGAAATTCCTACATTTGACAAAGAAAGAGATACTATTAGCACAGTAAAAGAGTCTGCTAAGTCATCACTAAAGCAAAGCAAAAATCCACTAGCGTCAATTTGAAATGCCAAGAAGTGGAGTTGGGTAGAATTCAGCTTTTAAATAATAACAACAACAACAATATTGATGTGCTCATGCATTCTGGATAAAAGGCTGTCTTAAGTAGATACTTTCTTAATGCTATCTATTGTTCCTTATGTTTAGTTTATTTCTTTAATAGCTTTGGAATTTATCCAGAGACATTTGTCATTGAGTGAACTAAAAATATATTCCACCACTTTTAAAAAAGGATTCTGTTTTAATCACCCTTCTATTCCATGCAACAATTCCATGCCCCTGAAACAGTGCTGCTTCCAATGTTCTTATCTGACTCGCAACATTATTTTCTCTTGCAGAGATCTCCTCCTTTTACATCTAGCAGACTAGTTAAAGGAAAAGAAAATCCACATCTTTTGGGAGAACTCTGGGGGAAAATCCTGGGTTATCTGAAGCTTAGTTCTCACATCTGGCTCCATCACTGGTGGGACCATCTGCGCTTTATATGCCTAATTCTTTTTAAACCAATATTAAGCCAGCAGCCATTAGTCTCACTCCATGACAGTTCATACATTAATGATCTGTTGTGTGAAGTATTTAAGTTTGGTTAATCATGAATCTGCCCCTAATTAATTCCAACACATGATCTAGCAGAGAGGGAATGAAAACTTCTCCTTCTGCCCTATCCATCATTTTATAAATCTCTATCCTAATTGGAAGTTAAGAAAGAATGTTGGTTCTTGTTAGTGGTTTCAGTTAGATTAATGAATATCGATTGCGTAAGGATTTGATTTAAGCAGCTGGTTGTGTTAAGAGAGCCAGATGTTGGAAAGTGGTTTCTGGGTTTCACTGTGAAGCTAAGTGGAAAGAACACAGCGGGGCCCTTTAACAACAACAATAACAAATTGGCACATCAGAAACATCTCCAGAGAGGAAGGACAAGAAGGATTTAATTAATTGATACCTGGTTTAATTTGCATCAATTGCACAAAATAAAATGCTTGCCTGAATAAACAAAAAAGGATGCTTAATATATAGATATTATATCCTTACTTACACACACACACACAATTACACAAAGAGTTCACTGGCCTCAGTTCACATTTTGAGAAAGTATAATTCAATTCGCAGTAGAGGTTAAAGCTGATGTTGGCTATTTTATTTTATCCTAAAGATCTCTACCAGGCCTTGATCATCTTTTCTCCAAATACATGTCTAGGTCATCTCCATACAGAAGCTGTTCTGGACTTTTATCATTTATTTTTTCCTTTGCTGCTCCTAACAGCTCTTCAGTAGCCGTCCCTAAACCAAATCTCTCCAGACTTGCTTTACTACAGACCCCTCAAATCTTAGCCAGCACATGGACGGGCCATGCGGGGCACAAAGGAAGTTATCATCCAGCATAACAGGCTGAGGTCAGCTACCATTCCACAGCACCATTTTTGAAATTAAGTAGCTAAAATGGTACACTGCAGCGTCACATCACCTGTATTTCACTGCCGCTCTTAGCTACAAGTGTTCAATGCTGTTGCAAAGGCTAACGGACCATCGAAAGTGGGCAAGCAGAGGACATTACCATCGCGCTGTCTGTATCTCGGATTCCCAGCACATAAGGGTTTCCTTCAGCAATCAATTTTGGTTTGGCTCCCGCACACAAACAGAGTTTTTCAAAGGTATACTCCTGACCAGCTTCTGTGATGATCTTCTGTAACCACATTAAAAGTGAAAAACCAAAAGAAAGAATTAAAAATCGGAGCCAGTTCTCAGTTCGACATCAAGAACCAATGAAGACAAAGACGGGTAGCTAGGGCTACCATGAAATATCCAGCACATTCGAGAAAAGGGAATTAAGCATTTGCATTTGCAAAGCCATGCTGACCTTGTGTATTATTGATTATGTACTTATCCAATATCCCTGCACACCACTTCCTATGCTGAAGCCTCTTGAAGTGGATTACAATAAATGCAGCAGTAAAACACAGAATGAAACCCTACATTAAAACATTATACAGTAAAACAATCTTCAGTAAAACAGAATCATTAAAAAAGTGGGGGAAAGAAGAAAAGCAATTATTCCAACATTCCTACCAGGATATCCTGGTTAAAAAGGTGTGTTTTCAGTAGGGATCTAAAAGATATTACAGCAGGTACTTCCTGAATTTCAGAGGTTGAACCTGGTTGAATAGCTAACTGGCAGCCAGTGCACTGGCTTTAATAAAGTTGGGACACCTTTTTTATTTCCTTATATCTATCTATCTATCTATCTATCTATCTATCTATCTATCTATCTATCTACATACATACATACATACATACATACATACATACTAAATGTGAGGTTACCAGTTCAGGAAGAAATCTAGCTAGGCTTCTTCTGTTCAGGAAAGGCTATAACTGGGATACCAGCCCATGCTGGCCAAAGGTACTGGTGGCCCCAGAGGTCCCTCAGGCCTCCAAGGAGACTCATCCTTCTCAGAGCACCTCTTAACTATGTAGTTGTTCTTTCTGAAGAAGTATAACTTTATTTAAAAGAGATATACTTTCCAATCTTCTAATCTGATACCAACTTTAGCCATCATGAAAAGAGGCAGTGGTTATATGTGGAAGAAGAGGCTTATCCTGATGCCATCTTGGAGCAGAGTGGCGCCAGAAAGTTCCCCGAGAGTTGTTCAGGTAGACAGTAGACATCCCCTCTTTCAGGAATGCTTTAATTTGGATTATTGCAGAGGGTTGGACTTTAAGGAGTGAAAGGTAGTGAACATGTAACATTCCACTGCACTTCAAACAGCGGCGGATCGGTCCTTCAAGACACATTCTTCCTTATGAGCAAAACAAAGTTCCCCATAAGTGAAACTGGGCTTGGTGATGGCAGTCAGGCAATCATGCAGTTTTCTTAGCAGCCGTGTGGAGGTGGTTGGCCACTGTCTTCTTCAGGTGAAGTCTTTTGGTCTCCCAGTCTAGCCTACAGCCCTGGGATTCCCAAGGGATGCTCTACCCAAGTCTTACCAAGAGCAAACTCTGAACAAACAAATTAAAATTAATAGATAACCATCAAAATCGACATTATCCTCTACCAGCTTTTTAATGTATCAAGGGGGTGTCTCATTCCTGAAAGGGAAAGCAACGTTCAATATTTTCTATGAAAAGAAAAAGATGCAGGTTTTTCTTACGTGGTCTTTGCTTTTCAGTTGACTCACTGCAGATTGTATAACTTTAATGTTGGAGTAGCGCTTTCCTAAGATGCTGTTTGCTTGTTCCTCAACGTCAAATTCTTCTAAAGTTCGGGAAACCTGTTGAAGAAGTAGAATCAAGAACTCGGTTGGGGGTTCTTAATTTAGAGCAGTGTTTCTCAACCTCAACCACTTTTAAGCTGTGTGGACTTCAACTCCCAGAATTCTGGGAGTTGAAGTCCACACAGCTTAAAG